AGAAAGAGAAAGAGAGAGAGAGTACCTGTTACTGAACTGACTATTTAAGGAATAAAATTTTACAAAAGTATATTATACTACACATGTCTGATCAGGGATTACACGTAATTACTGTGGCCTTTTTTTCAGGGATTTCACGTAATTCCTTATTATTTCAGTGATTCCGTGAAATCTCCGAGTGAAACAGGGATTACGCGTTTTCACTGAAATATTCAGTAATTCCGCGTATTCACTAGGTACGCGTTCTTACTGTAACATATATACAGTCTCCAGCAGAAACAAATCCGAGATACTCGACAATTATACCCCCAAAATGGGAATCGAACCTGGGTCTTCTGGTGTTAAAACGAAGCTGCTTACCGCTACAGCACAACAACCGGTACAGGAAATTTGGAACGATTCTCACCGTATTTCTCCTATTGACATACACAGTGTCTGTGACAGGTGCCATAGCTTTTACCTTGCAAAACGCACCTGGCTGGGTACAGTGAGTAGTAGGATCTCTACCTCACACACAGAGATCACATTCGGTGTAAGCATTTTGAGGTCGCGGGCTTCGAATGTGGCTGAGGGTCGAGAGCTCTCTTCACATTAAACTACAAATGAACCCAAACGCGACATTGCCAAATTACGGCATATGGAACCTCTCCATTAACTAGAAAATTCGGAAGTTGAGAAGTCGTTTCTTTTATAACACTTATTTAGTATATTTCTCTGCTCGTAACGAACTATCTTCTACTATCCCAGTCAACACATAGACTTGTATTATTGTATCATAATATCCAGGAATGTGCACTATGTCATAATCCCTGTCCACCAGGGAGCGTACCATTTGTCACTATTTGGAACCAAAATAAGGGCAAGGACAGAAATGTTGCGAGTGCTTTTGACTTCAACGGTGAGCACCAGCACAGCGGAGATGTTATAGAGGGCAAGGTGAGGCGGCCGGGACTGTGTCAGTCTAGGAATTTGTTTGCATAATTCAAGTCTATGAGTCAACATGAGACATTTATGGGTTACTCGCAACTAGATAGAAATACTTTTACTATCTTATTATGTTTTCTACAAACACGTTTCCCCGCAGTGTGTCCCATAAACGTTTCCCAGCGGAAATCCCTTATCTACCGTCGTCCAGTGATTTATAGTTTACCTTCTAAGTTGGGCCTTCCCTTTAAAAGTGAACAAGAATTGCAAATATTTTTGTGTTATGGTTATTTTGTTCTCGCCTGCCGTAAAAATTGTAGGGAATGCCCACACAGTGCACAAAGGGGCCTGATTTGAGTTCGGAATAATGATCATTATTAACTCAGTTTATGACCTTGCTGATTGGGAATTTTAGATTAGGGAACTTAAAAAATAAGAGTATAATAGCAATAATAGATGGCATTACTATAATGCATTTTCGCCTCTTGGGTGTTATGTGCTTTGCAAAAATACAGGTCGTATCTTTTACTTGCACAGCTCTGCAAGTTTGAATGTGACTTCTCTATCTCCATTAGTCTGCCAGCCCGTCTGTCTGTCTGTCCATCTGTCTGTCTTCTGTCTGCTTGCCTGTCTGTCTGTCTGTTTGTCTGTCTTTCGGTCTGTCTGTCTCCAGCAGGCCATTTTACGCAATGACCCTTTACCTAACAAAGACAAT